CTACCCCGATGATGGTCAACTGCGAGGCTTCGTGTACGCCCAGCGTACCTTCAGAGTATGCCCTGCGTACGCACCCTGAGTTGACTCGGTCGATTTGATTCGGTTGGGTTGAATCGGTTGACCTAGTTGGTTTGACCAATTGACTTTGACCAAGTTTGACCTTGAGGGTATTTTGGGATTTTAATGGAAATTGGTCATTTGGTGGGAATAAGTGTGGGTTAGAGAGGTGAGATTCAGAGTCGAGACCTCGTCAACTTCTGTTCAGTTTGTGAGGTGAGTTTTCCTCACTGTACTTTCGGGTCGAAGGCACCAAGGCCGGCCCATTGGATTGTTATCCAAGTTTATCGCATGTTGGCATGATGTAGTGATCTGTTAGATCTGTATCATGTCATATAGGATGATGTTATGCTTAGTGATTTGTAAGATTTGTCTGATTGTCTGTTGACTGGTTATATGTATGCTTATTTGTTATGTATATGTCGACATGGTTTATGTGTGGTTGGGTTGAGGCAGACCAGTGTAGACTGAAGGCCAAGAGACCTAGGGCGTTCCGGATAGACTGCAGGCCTGAGGGGCGTACCAGTCAAGCCGAAGGCCCGTAGAACGTTCCAGATAGACTGAAGGCCCGGTGAGGCATACTAGTCATGCTGAAGGTTCTGTGAGCGTACCAGATAGACTATAAGCCGGTGGGGCGTTCAAGTCAGGCTGAAGACTCTGTATGCATGTTGTTTGTATTATGCGTATGTTATGTGTTGATACTTTGGGGGAATTCACTAGGCGTTGACTTACAGTTTTGGGTTATGTTTCAGGTACTTCAGATGATCGTGGGAAGGTGAATGGGTGACCGTACATATCCTCATGTTATTGACTTATGATTTTGGGAGACTCTGATGTTGAATATGTTTTGAGAACTATGATTGTAAACAATTTGTGAAATTAGTTGGTTTTAAAAAGTTTAATGAGCTCTATACGAATATTCGACAAGTAATTACTTCAAATCCTCATGAAACTCTAACACCCATAAAACATAAATCATGTCTGAAGTTTATCTCGGAATGTTAATTACTCAGTTATGATATTCTACGAATACTCTTATTAGATATCTTATGAATACCTCACAAAGTACGCGCATCTGTGAATCATTTCAGATTCAGCTTAGGTATTCAATCAATCCATTTCTTCATGCTATGAACAATCCGACTTATGATTGAACCATCCAAGTTCAAAAGAAAGACACCTACATTTACCCTTCGTCTTTTGTGTCCTTTTTAAAGGAGAAAATAGCAGATTCAATAAAAACGCAAAACATGAAACTTGTTAGAAATCTTGTATTAGTTTCGAAAATATCTCGATTCAAATAAATCAGAACTCCAGAACTCAAGATATAGTCAAAACATCGAGCAGTGGAAAAATTTCTCTACATCATTTTCTTCATGAATTTGCACAAATTGCCCCAATACTTGATAGTTTCCTTTCACTCATTTTAACTGTAAGTTTTGCCCTTGGTGGTACTGCAAATTTACTACACATAATACTCATAGTAAAGTCATTCTTGGGGTGAACCCACGTCAATTCCACATGTTTGACACAATTATAATACTATCGCTTATATTTGCAACTATAATTTCATGCGACTCATGTCTCCTTGAACAAATTGTAATGGGACGAAGCAATGCATCACAATAGATCCATGGGTGATCATTCATCACCAACACAATCACTTGACTCGGTTACAGTCGAATTAATGATCAAACAACAAGTAGATAACATTTTGGCCACTCACAAAGCCAACAGAAACAACTCCTTTTAACAAAGTAGAATTGGAAGCAGTAACCATAGAAATAATAGTGATGTCCTGAGAACATGCACATATGAAGAATTTATGAACTACAAACCCAGACCCTTCTATAGAAATGAAGGAGTTATAGGGTTGGCACTATGAATTGAAAGGATAGGATCGATATTCCATCCTAGCTCATGTGCAAAAAAAATGTCGTCTTAGGTTTGTCACCTGCACTTTTATGAACGCCGCCCTTATCTGGCGAAACCACTATACAAAAATTTTAGTCATTGACTCCGCTCATGCCACGACGTGAGAAACACTAAAGATGGTACTCATAGAAGTATAATACCAACAGATAAGATATGAAATTTAGAACAAGCACCGGTGGAGGAAAAGCTTGTTATGGAAATGGTGAAATGGAGCATTTTGAGAGGAACTACCCAAGACTAAAGAACCGGGAGGTAATCGCTTGAGTCAGAGCAATAGTGATCGGAACAAGGAATGATAACCATGAGCCATTAGTAGTACCTGGTGCGTTTGTCATTAACCACTTGTATGCTGAAGTACTTTTAATTCAGATACGCGTATAAACCTTCATAAACCCTATACATAAGCATCTACTAAGTCATAAACCCAGTAGATTGGAAGAAACCTGCAAAGTAGAGACAACTAGTGAGCTATCAGAAATATGCTCGTGAAATTTTAATAATTTTTATCCTAACACATAATGAATCATGTTTGTCACGTCAATCTCATGCGTGTGTCCACCGAAACTCTAATATATCTTTGTCTATATGAAATGATTTTGTCTGTGTCACGCCAAGTCATTGTACGACCCCCATTTCACTAATAAAGTAACCATGAACGACCAGTATTTTCTCATAAATCTTATGCCAATTCTGAGCGAAAGCTTTGACATTATCATAGGTATGAATCGACTATCTCGCCATTGTGTCTAGATCTGTACGACGAGAAAGTTGTACGACTGAACCTACCTAATGGGAAAACCATGGTCATTTATGATGATAGGTCGGGGAAAAACCTAAAAACTTCCTACCCCCAAATCAAAGCGAGGAACAGTTGTGAACTTCTCTACTCACCATAATTTAAGCAACCTATAGAAGGATTTAATCTAATGTGAAGGATTTGATCAAATGTGAAGAATTTGATCAAATGGAAAGGATTTAATTCAATGTGAAGGATTTGATCAAATGTGAAGAATTTGATCAAATGTAAAGGATTTAATCCAATGTGAAGGATTTGATTAAATGTGAAGGATTTGATCAAATATGGAAGATTAAGTGAAGACTTCTTCCCGAGAAATGGACGTTGGAATTTTAACAACAAAGGAAATTGTGCTGGCTAATACCGTAGATACATCAGGAACTTCTCCAAGGTAGTCCTACCGCCAACTGTGTTGGCACCAAAATGGAACAAGTCCAATTAGGAAGATAAGAAAGAAATTACATTCCAGAAGTTGGGACAACTATTATGTAACACACCAATCCTATCTCTTCAGAAAGAAAGGAGAACATGCTCATATACATCGACATGTTACATAAAGGATTGGGGTGCATATAGATGAGTTGAGATAAGATTTTTCCCTATGCCTCCTTACAATTCAAAGTGCATGAAAACGACTACGCTACCCATGAACGTGAGCAGAGAACTATAGTTTATCTTGAAAAGTTAGAGACTTTACCTAAACAGTACCAATGACACCATCTCTATGAATCACATAGAGTATCCAACGCCTCTTTAAACAAAAGAGAACTCAACATGATGTAGAAATGATGAGTTGAGTGGTTAAACGATTACGAATGTGATATTCGTTATCACCATGACGTGTAAGATTCGTTAACATGGTGACGAGTCTAATGTAGTAACAAATTCCTTAAGCCAGAAAGAACGCATCGAACCCCGTTGAGTACATGCATTAACTAGGATCATCCATTCAAACCAAATCTGTACGCCTAGGTATAGTAAACACGAGAGCATAGTCTTGGATTAAATTTACAGATTAATGTGTCTCATCCATCCAGGCTTTGACCAGATATGCTTAGATTTGAAGGAACAGAAATGGTGAATATTCATGAAGGGAAAGATTGCCACTTGAGTAGGCAAATATCAAATCTATACCAAAGACAAAATATCATAAATACTAAGGGTTAATGTAACAATGAGAAATACCCGAGTAAAAAGTGGTAATCAATGTCAATGGACTTCATACCTAAACTACCCAAGAAGCCTAGTTTACGTTGACCATATTGACCCATTGATTGAAACCTCATTCCAGCCAACACCAATCGTTTCCCCAATGGGGAATATATACAAACAACAAGATAAGAATCACTCATACTCTTCCGACATTATCAGTTTCGCATCGGTCCTTGACTGGTCTCGGTTTTGGACTGTCTTATCCATATGGTATATGATTAACACTTATGGTTTATTTTCATGTTGCAATGCTATAAGATCGAATATATTACCAAGAAGCCATCGGGCCTCACCCAACGGTTCATTGATCATGTCGGTGGGATCCGAGGCAACGTCTAGAAACGGTTCATCGAGTTCGAGTCGGGATCAGCCGAGAATAGCTGTGTTTGGGTTAAAATTGTCTTGCACACATTTCATAATCAGAGTCTGTCATTGATAGTTTTTTCATGGTTTTGTTGTGATTTTTTTTTAATTATTTGTAGAGTTACTTTGGTATCATGCGATGCGATGATACACGGTATATACTATAGAATCGTATCACACAATCATATGTATAGAGACACTTTCAATTCTTATTTTGTTTTGGTGTAAATATATAGTTTTTGTTTGTCGAGATGAATTATGATTTACATTTACTAATAAAACATGGTTTCTCGTGTTTGTTTTCACCATGATGCATGCAAGAAATAACAATGTATTTTCATATATTTGTATCCATGGCATATTGCTTTCATTTTTTTTATTACACCATTATGCTTTTTGTTTTTATAATAAAACATTGAATCCCCAATAAGCTATCGAATATAGCATTGTGCTTTGACTTTTTTTTTTATCTGCATGCTTTGAAAAATCTGCCAAAACATAGCTATTATGGTTGTTGTATTTGGATGGCATTACTAGTTGAGTAGACTTTTCAAAAAAATAGTATGGTCATCAAAAGAAATACTAAAAGTCGCATACTTACTATATAATAAACAAATAGGATTATTTCCGAAATCGACCCTATATTTACCTTTTTTCCGTTTTAAACCAATACTTTAGTTTTTTTTTCCAAAAAGACCACAATTTTTGCAATTACTTATTATTTTGTGAGAGTAACCGGTTATAAGCTTATAACCTATCCTCGTCAATCGATTGTCATCAGAGAATCTTAAACCCTAAAATCGTTTTCATGGGTGTTTGGGGTTTACTTTTTAAGGCTAAAAGTCCTTTTTGTAAAATGATTTTTTGGCTAGTGACTTTTTCCAAAAGAAAATCTTTAAAATGTGTTTGTATTTGTTTTTAGGGTAAAAGTTAATTTTTCAAGTTAAAAAGTTTCAAAAGTCACAAAAAGATAGGATTTTATAACTTTTGAAAAAATAAATTTTACTTCTACACAAAAAGTTATTTTAAAAGTTCTTTTTTACCCTTTTTTAAACTTTTTGAAAAAGTTAAAAGACAAAATTGTTTTAAAAGCAATCCCAAACACCCTCTGTCTTCTTCTTCCTCTTTTTCTTCTTGTACGACATATCCTTTCTTCTTCTTCTTCTTCTTCTTGTACAAACATACTCCTTAGTGTTTTATTGCTCACATGTTGGTTCGAGAAGTGTTATTTTTTTCATCTTATACGAGCCATTGATCCCTGAAAATGTCATCTTCTTCGAACATGAGGAGCATTAGAAGTAAGGAATGGTGGAGTGGAATTGTGAAAATGTCACTGTCCAATTTTAGCCTTGATAAAGCATCCGCGGCCACATTTTTGTAATGAATTTCATAATCAAAGCCCATCATCTTGGATAACCAGAATTGTTGAAATTTCTACTGATTCCCATCTATTACTGTTACTGCTGTTTGAGTAGCAATGGGATCCAACTGGAGTCCTAACTTGTTAACTAAGTCAGATCCAAGAAGTTGTGTATACTGCCTGAGTCAAGAAAAAAGTGAAGTGGTTTATTGTCATAAAATCATTCACTCTCATTATTTGAAAGCTATGATTTCCACTTAAAGTGAAGGTCTATTTCAGAAATAACCCAAACAAAAAAATACAAGTAGGTTATTATTACTTTATATTTAACCTTTATAAAAATGAATCCAAAACAAATGGTATATGCTAGAACGTAGTCCAATAGTAGTGTTGAAAACCTAGCGAAATTTTTAACAAGACATTAAAGTTAAAACTTATGGCAGTGAAAATGCAAAGTAAAGGTTGTCTTATTCAAAATCCCAATCAATAATCATGTAAGAGATTTTTCAAAGTATAAGAAGAAAAAGAAGAATGCTATAATAATAAACAAAAATAATGTTGCATAAAACCTTTCCCCGATACAAACAAATAAATATGGTGAGAAATGCTAAACTTTATAACCATAACATGAAAATGGAAGAAAACTTACATATAATTCTGAGATCATTTGTGCTATTATTTTCCTTTCCTCCAGGATGAGAAGGCAACGAGAGTTGTTTTGATTTCATTTTGAGAAGCATTGAAATCTCATGCTTTGGATCGATTTTATCCACTGAAGCCTGAGTTTGTTCATGTTATTGTCCCCCCAAATCACCCTTATGCTGTTGTTTGTTTGTGTGCAACCTGGCGCACATAAGCCACACCCTGTAACACCATACAGGCAAATTTTATATTATTTCCTTGACTTGTTCAAAATTTATATCCAATTGCTTTTTAAAAAAAAGCAACGAAAAAGTTGTTCTGTTTTGTCTTAATTACTTGTATATTTAAAAAAAAACGGTGGGAAGCTTATTGAAAGAAAACGATGGCAAGTACAATGATGCAATATACACATAAATGAAAGTTCAATTCATTGCATTTAAGAAAGGGAAAAATACTAGAAATAGCAATGTCCCTTCAATTATATGTGTATTACAACATCCTGCTATGCATCAGGTTTAGCCACAGACGTTATCTATGGGAAAACTCAGTGAAATAAAGAGGTTTGCATGTTTTGGTATTGTCATTCTTAAGATTGTTACAACAGGGTATTGTATTTACTATTTAGAGGGCAGTGGAGAAGTATCTTTGTGTGAAAATCTGGTCTTAGTACCTTTTGGGAGAGGCTAGATTCTAGCAAATCATTAGTTACTTTGAGTATTATCAGTAAATTCAGTGAAGCTTTGATTCTTGTTCTTGTTTAGTGATTTTATATTAATAAGAGAGTTCATTTCTTTCATTTCTTCCAACTACAGCATTGTACTTAAGTTTTTTTCTTATTAGAACATTATCTTTCAAAAAATCCATCGATCGTACTTTCAGTTCTTTTCTTATTATAGCAACGAAAAATTGGGTTGTATTTAAATAACTGAGTAGATCCTTCAAAATACATGGCTGAAAGCACGTTGCATTCATTTCCATGTCTTGCAAAAAGCACAACATATAAAAATATGAAATAAGAAGAAAGATAGATACCTTTTGAATTGAGGATCGGTAGGGTCCAAAGCGTAATCGGGTCGGGTAAAAAGAGATGAAAACCGCGGATCAACAGCCAGTATCTTCTCCTCATCAATAGTAATACTAATACCTTCTTTTTTACTCCTTTTCCTTTTCAAATTATACCCTCTCACATTACCCTCATCATCACCAGGTAATAATTCAAGTTCTGCTTTACTCGCTTCACCTTCTTTATCTTTATCCAATCCCATTTCTTGTTTTATACCGGAATCCATGGATTTCTTTTTTCTAGCTTTCTTTTTTTCTTTTTTCTTGCGGAGAGATGTGTCCCAAACTGTTTCGGATTCTTTTTTGTCTTTTTTTTTTCTAGGATTTTTTTGCTGAGAGCTTCTAATCCGGTGTTGAAAGTGACTTCCATTTCCATTTCCATTCCATCTTCGTATTCGTATTCATATTCATATTCATATTCGTCTCCAGATTGGGATTGGAGTAGAGCACGGTATGTGTCCGTTTTTTGTCTTTTTCCGTGGTTTTCATCATCTTCATCACTTTCACTTTCACTTGAAGCAATGAATTCCTTTAATTCTTCTTCATCCTTAACATACTCCGACTCCTTCATAACAATAGTATCATTCATTAATTCCATATCATCTAACAAATGAAAAACGGTTTGGTTGATTACATTTGAAGTTGATGTTGATTTTTACACATACTATTTTCATTCCGTAAAAACTACTTTTGTGTCCTTCACAAGTTGAACTTAACGGTTGGAATCTCTCATACCCTTCATCTTTATGTTTCAAGAAACCAAATTTTACCACCTAATTACTGTGTTTATGGCTATGCAGGTGACTTAGTTTGTTTTAAATTCAGATTTCGTTTTGTTTTCATTTTAGGATCTAGAGTTTCTTCAACATAACATAAAGATGAAGACAGTGAGATGAGGGCATATTCGTCATTTAACATAATGACCTTAGCCGTTCAGTTAGGGACCAAAAAATTTTACTTTTCAGGATGAAAGAAAAAGAAAAATATAATAATATCATTTTAAACACACACACACACACACACCTGGTGGACATTAATTTTCCTTTTAAGCTTCTTGGAACGCCTGGGTTCATTCTCATCCCAAGTAAGATCAACTTTACTGAGTTGCAAAGCTCTAGTTTGAAAATCTATACCTTCATAATTTGCTGGAGCCTGAAACAAGAGTGTGATTAAATTTCATTTATTATTGCCATCCTACATTCATTTCTTTCTTTCAGTTTTTTTTTTTTTTTTTTTTTTTTTATTATCATACCCAAGTATAATCCAATGGTAGGAGTAGGACATTATACTTGGAAAAATCTATCCAGCTTCGTGTTTGCTATAATTGAGTAGATTTTTCAAAGTGTAATAGAAAGAAATAATAATAATAATACAGAAATCCGGTTGAATTTAAGCCTAAATAAAATAACAATTAACAATACCCTGGTGGCAACATCACGTGGAGGATGTTTAAACTCCATAGAGTCTTGGATAAACCTCAAATCCAGCATATTTGATGACCTTTCAAACTCGATACCATCACAGCTTTTATAAAGGTAATCAGCCGTGGCAACTGAATCACATACCACCACTGCAACATAGTACCTGATACCAAAAAAACTTTCATTTATGTGTGTATTATATATAGCATATCCTGCTTTCACTTCTTTCTATTACATACAACATTGCACTTCCATTTTTTTTTTCTTATCTATCTATGCAGTAACTATATCAGTAGATTTTTCAAAATACAATCCGAAATGAAAGTGGGATGTCATAATAAGCAAATCAAGTTTCTACTTGTTGCATTTACCATAATCTCTCTAGTTCATAAGCCCGCAACTTGTCATTGTCATCATCTTCATCAAATAAACCAACTGGACCACGCACTGCCTCCTCTTTCATACAGATGGATATACAGACACTGACAAAATCTGCCCTGTTTTTGGCACAAACGACCTTAACAAAACCAACAAGTCAACTGCCTACACAAGAAACAAAACTCCAATGTTTACAGACTGCATGACAAATACACAAAGCAACTCCATAACACAACAAATAGCTTTAAATTCCACTTCATGTGTCCAAAATTGTCTAAATTATCAAGGAGGACAATTACTTCCATGTCCTTCCCTCCTTTCTCATTGCACACAACACAACAACTGCATTCTACTTCAAAATTATCAACTTTTGGTTTCTCATTAATCATTTACATGTTCATGTACTTCAATAGTGTCCTGAAATGATACAATCCACATTGATGTTTGAAAATCAATTACCAAAAAGTTTTATCTTTACTCTCATCATTAGTGTGTCAACTGTATAGTTTGTCGTCCTTTTTAGGTAAACTTTAACAAATAATCAATTATACTAGTGAATGCAAATGAACAACGACCTGAACTTGATTCCAATCCAACTTAACAATTGCAAGCCTGTGAGTTTCTTTCTCAATTTCAGGTACATTCTCCTCCAGCTATCTCCATTTGAGTTCCAAATATTTCAATAGCAAATCAGTATAATCATTTTTTTGGAACAATAATCGCATACAAGATTATAAATGGAATTCACCTGCAAACCAGTGGTTTCCTCCTCCAGATAAGCTTCACCCTCTTCATTTGTATCCGTTGAAGTATAACCATCTTCTCCATTGGATTCCGATTCCGATTCCTGTTCTGATTTGGAGTTTGCAGCATCATCCGACACCTGGCGTTGTTTCTTTCCTTCATCGTCCATTCGGTAGTAGTGTCTAAGAGCAGTTTTAGATGAATCGTCATCTTGTTTAGCTCTGCCCCGCTTATCTACACGGGAATATGAAGTAGAGAAGTTGTTATCAGTGAACATACGACTAAAACGCGAATCAATCGCCACCTTTGTTTTATGCCTTGGAGCATCCTGGAACCTAGGATCCTTCTGTGAAGGGGCAAACCTTTCGTCCGTAATTACTTTGCGGTTTCCAGGGACTTCCACCTCCATGTTATCATCTGCCGCCTTTTTATTCTTGTTGCTTTTGGAACCCATTCAAACACCTGAAACAGTGGAATTTTAAAGCAGAATCCTAAGATTCACAAATCCAACAACCAAAAGAGAAGGAGTAACTGTAGGCTCTGTGGATTTCGGGAGCCTCAGCCTGTATTGGGGAAAAGGTGAAAGATGTAGCGGAAGAAGACCGATCGACAGAGAGTTACACCCTATTCCCCAGTTTCATTAAACGAAAGAAAAGAAGGGGAAGGAAAATATGGAGAGAAAAGAACGAGAGTTACACCCACAACCCATGTGGGTCAGTGTTTTATTAGTTTCAATGCAACTACACATGCCTCCAAAGATGTTCACAAAGAACTAGTTAACATTCATATTTACTTTTTCATATAATGATGTTCTAAACATATAATCACAGGTAACCTAATGAATCAAGTCAACTTTAAGAACAATGATGAAGAAGAAACAAATCATAATGAAGCAGAAAAAAAAAGGTTCTAACATATATTGTGAACACGATCTAACAACAAAAAAATACAGGGGAGAAGAATGGAACCTGATGGATGATGGACCGATTTTTTGTTGTATATTATGAACAAGAATGAAGTCTGCAGCAGGGACGTCGAAACACAGGATGAAAGACCGATTTTTTTGTTGTATGTTGAGAATGATACGTGATCTTATATAACCGTGTGTTGTTATCCTTATCATTGATTCTCTTCTCTCCAAATCTCTCCAATTTGGGAGGAAGATTGGGAGGGAAGATTTTCCTCTGATTTCTTTTTTTCTTCCTAAATCATTCCAAAAAAAAAAACTCTGGAACACGATGGTTTATTCTTTCTCTCCCGATTCCCTCCCTTTCTTTCAGGCCTCAGCTTCCCTGAGACTCGGAAACAAGGCACGAAATTACAAAAATGGTCGAGACCTCCACCCACTTATACACAAGGGCCCTTACCACAGTTGAGGTGGAAGCTCATTTAGTTATATCTTCTTAAAACTATTTTATATAATAACGAAAACGTTAATACTTAAATAATAAATAAATTACAAAAACTAATTTTTTTTATATAATTTTTTTTAAATAAAGCAAAATGTATTTTAGCTGTATTATAAAAAAAATAGTTTTTACAAACAATTTTTATGTATTTATTTTACGTAAAATATATTTTTTTATGTCTCTAAAAAATACGTTTTCGTATAAAAAATATGTTTTCGTAAAAAAAAAAATTCATGTCTTTGAAATAATAATAATTAAAACTACTCATGACATAAAAAATTTATAAATTCTTTTGAATCGTTAGTTCTAAAACCGTTTTTCGGTTATATGTATTAAAAACAACATAACAACGATTTTGTTATGTATCTAAACAATTTATACGTTTTTTTTTATATCAAGAGTAGTATTAATTATCGTTATTTCAAAAAGATATATCATTATTTCTTTTCTTTCTTCATTTTATCAATACGATTTTGAACTTGCGATTAAGATGAAATGCGTATTTTAAATAATATATATATATAACCGATTAAGTTTTTTATGCTTTTTTAGATACATATAACTAAAAAACGGTTTTCAGAAAAACGATTGGACCAATTCGGTTATATATCTTATTTAAAATACGTATTTCATCTTAATCGCAAGTTCTAAATCGTATTGTTAAAATGAAGATGAAAAGAAATAATAATATATCTTTTTGAAATAACGATAATTAATACTACTCTTGACATAAAAAAAAACCATATAAATTTTTTAGATACATAACAAAATCGTTGTTATATTGTTTTTAATACATATAACCGTAAAAACGGTTTTAAAACTAGCGACCCAAAAGAATTTATACATTTTTTTTGTGTCATGAGTAGTGTTAATTATTATTATTTCAAAGACATGAAAAAAAATATTTTACGAAAACATATTTTTTATACGAAAACGTATTTTTTAGCGACATAAAAAAATATATTTTACGTAAAATAAATACATACAAATTGTTTGTAAAAAACTATTTTTTTTATAATACGGCTAAAATACATTTTTGTTTTATTTAAAAAAATATATATAAAAAAAATTGTTTTTTATAATTATTTATTATTTAGGTATTAACGTTTTCGTTATTATATAAAATAGTTTTCGGAATATATAACCAAATGAACTTCCAGCTCAATTGGTAAGGGCCCTTGTGATATAAGGGGGGTGGAGGTCTCGAGTTCGAGCCTTGTCCCCTTCTTCTTTAAGCTAATTATTTCACTTTTTCAAACAAACTTCAAAAATTGTCCCTGTGGTTTATCAAATGTCACGAATTCAGTATCTTTATACTTGAAAAGACGAAAATGCTCTTACAGATTCAGTCCCTAACGGCATTAATACTAATGGCGTTAGTAAAAAGGGTCATCTTTGCAAGTTTTGCAAACCACAAGGACCATTTGCATCAAAAAAAAATTAGCAGGGACTGACTTTGTGACTTTTGGCGAACCACAGGGACCATTTTTGTAATTTTGTCGAAACAAGGTGTTAGAGCTAGGTTATTTTACTTTCAGAGTTGAGGGTCTTATATATTAGAAAAAAAAATCAGCCTACTTTTTTTCAAACTCATTTTATAAGTTTTTTTAATGCCGCGTGGATATATCCACGTATAATTAAAGTGTCGGTGTCATGGCTCCGCCATGGCGCGCCATGGCTCCAAGGTTTGTATATGCCGTCAAGCTTTACCAAAACGCCGCCTTAACTGATATATGTGTATAAAAATGAATAATAGTTGAATATGCATATAAAAATATTAATTATATACAAAGTTGCCGCTTTAAGTCACACCTTACAAACGCCGTGGCTCGCCAAGGCAAGGAAAAACTTGAGGCTTAACATTGACGCCAAGTCACGCCTTACGTTATTTAGAACCTTGGTTATTACAGATAAACTAGGTTATAACCCGTATACCGATTGGCAAAATAAAATAACATTAAGACCATAAAAATCATAGCCATTGATCATGATTTTGCAAAGAGTATAAGATAACCAACTTAAAGACCCAAAAAACCAATCAAGAATTAAAAAACAAAAACATCCATTATCTATGTTTACAAAAGCAACTAACAAAACACAATCTATTATAAACAAATAAGCTAAAGAATTTAACTACCAAAGAAAAACAACATGAGAATAGAGAAAACTCTCTATTCTAATAAATGAATAAGTTTATTCTCCACAAGTGTCATACTATTATGTCACTTATTATGCCACTTGTCATCCTATTAATTATTATTTCAAATTTCAAATTTTAAATTTCCCCATTCTAATTACATTAAATTAATAATTGATTCTCCATTTTAAATGTCAAATTTTAAATTTTTTCACTCTGATTATATTAAATTAATAACATTAGATTAAAAAAAATTAATACAGATTATAAGGTGATATAACTTCACGTATTTATTTAAATCAACGATTATAATTTTATATAACTAAAAGAAATATCTCTTAAGTAATAATTTATTTAAAATAGTTGATTAATAATTTTGATTTTTTAATATGAAAATTTAATTAATTTTATAACCGTGGTTCTCAAGGGTTATAAACTAGTATTCAATAAAGTCCTAAAATTTTGGCTCAATTTACGTTTTAATCCTAAATTAATTTTGTTTACGAAAAAATCCTAAAAACCAGAAAAAATTTGCATTTTGACCCTTTTGACCGGTTGGAACCGGTAACAAATTAATTTGGGACTATTTCGTAAACTACCCAAAATATTGTAACTTTTCTGGAAAAACAAAAATATTATGACGTTTCTGCAAACAAAAACTTTATTATTATTATTATTATTATTATAAATAAGAAATCCATTTTTTTATTATTCAAAAGTATCAAAGAAGAAGATACTTTCTTCCCTTTCTTCCATTTCAATCTTGTGCTCTTCTTCATATTTGTATTATGATTCATCTACATCAACTCTTTTCCTCTAGTCAATCTTCATTTTCTTTTGATTTTCTTCAATGTTACTTTTGATATATTCTGTACAAAAATATTTTTCTAAAAAATTGATTAAACAGTTTATTTAACATATAAAAAACATAAAGCTTTTATATTCTATTTTTAGATCTTCTTTCTAATACCTCTGGTGATTCACTCATTATTTCTTTTTCATTTGAATCCCCGTTTATTCATATTAGATATGAATTGAATGTAGTTAATATATAAATCACAAATAAATTACATAGAAAACACAACTTAATTATATTTGATTCGTATGTGAATAACATATGATTCTGATGCTAATCAGATCTGAATCACATATGAACGACAATGTCATTTACATCTGAATCACATGTGCTTTCTTATGTGAATTATATTTAAATCTTTATTTATATAATCGAGTCTTCTACTAAATAAGATGTGAATTAAAAAGAATATCAAATGAGTTACTAATCATGAATTATATTTGATTCACATATGAATAATATATGATTAAGATGTAAATCACATGTAAACTAGTTATAATTTACATGTAAAATATATTTCTAAATAACATGTGATTCAAATGTAAAATAGAATTTAATCACGTGAAAATCACATGTTAACATTAATCAAATGTGATTATGTATATTCACTTGCGATTATTTATGTTTACTTGTGATTATGTATAGACAAAACTGCACAAATGGTCCCTGTGGTTAGCTGAAAATTGCCACTTTGGTCCAAAAAAGTTTGGACTAGCACCAGAAGTCCAAACTTTTCATTTTGTTGCGAGTTTAGTCCAATTTTTTTGAAACTTTTTATAATGACGAATTCGCCCCTTATTATTTTATTTTATATTTTTCCTTTATTACAACATTTAAAACACAATTAAAAATAAACACAAAAATAACTATCTCTCTAACTCTCTCTCTCTCCCAGACCCCCAAAAACCCATCTTGATCATTATGATTTTCAGAAAAATGTAACATCACCACCACCATCTGATGAAGATTTGAACCGGATTCATACAAGCAAAGCTGGGCAAGCTGAATATTTGGGAACCATATGAAGATGAAGAAATCTGGGGAAATATGAAGATGAAGATCTTGTGTCCATCTTATAGCTAATACACAAATGCTAGAATTCAGGGGAAAGAAATTGATTTCTTGCCTTGAAACACGAACATACATATACATTCCAGAAATCGATATCGTGCCTTCAAATCTGGTTTCATCTTTAGATCTCGATTGTAGAGATGAATTTTGATTAGGGTTAGAGATAGATCCGACGACATCACCGTTTGAAACCCTAACGTTTGTCAGAATGGCGGCGACTGTTGATTGCTAGGGTTTTCAGCAATTGATTGCTAGGCGACAATGACCGATTGCTAATCCAGATCTTGAACAAAAACCCTAATCGACAGCTTGAAGCAAAAAACGAAAATGAGAAAGGAAGCGACATCAGGTTTCGATTAAGGATCTGGAGATCTTTTTGTCGACTATGTATCATTTTCAAATCAGAGGGTTTCTTTGTCTTCGCCTGAAAATCAAGGGTATTCAGGGTATTCAGATCAGAGGTTTCTTAGAGACTAGTGGCTGATGGTGGTTGTCCTTTCTGGTGAAGACGAACACCCTTTCATCACTTTCTCCCTTCTACTGAAATCGAAGACCTAAGTTTACACCCTTTTAGTATGCTTAAACCAAAGTCCAATTTTGAGAAGTTCATTCAAAACGTTGATTATCTTCAGAAATCAACAACCCTTTCATTCATCCATTCATACAAGATCCGAAGAGAGAGAGAGAGAGAGAGAGAGAGAGAGAGAGATGAGTATTTTTTTCTATTATAAAAATTTATAAAAATAAAATATAAAGGATAAATTTTCTTTTTTTAATTTTCTTTTAATTATAAAAGTATTTAAATAAATTAAAAATAATGAAAAAGAAAAAAGTAAAGGTAAAATCGTCATTATAAAAAATTTCAAAGCAAAATGGACCAAACTCGCAACAAAATGAAAAGTTTGGACTTCTGGTGCTAGTCCAAACTTTTTTGGACCAAAGTGGCAATTTTCAGCTAACCACAGGGACCATTTGTGCAGTTTTGTCTTATGTATATTCGTTTGTGAATAAAATATGAATTAAATTATTTACATTTAAATCAGGTGTTATTCATAACCCTAAAATGAAAAACAGATATACATTTGGGATAAAATTCAAATCAATGATGTATTGGTTAAATACATTAATAAATTTCAGATAAAATTGCAAAAATGGTCTATGTGGTATGCATTTTTTAGGGTTTTAGTCCAAACCACATCTTTTTTGGATTGGTGGTTCTTTTGAGGTAGTTTGCTTGCGATTTTGATCCTTCGCAAAACTGAAAAGACTAAATTGCCCTTATTATATTTATTTTCCATTTTTATTTTTCCTATAAGTATTTATATATATAAAATAAAAGTAGGGGCCTACATACCCGCTCTCTCTCTCTCTCAAAGAATATTATATTAAACCTAACCCCCAACCCGCTTTCTTCCCCACCGAACCTTCTATCCCTCCCCTGCCCTTCGTCTTCATGCTTAGTGATAAGAAATCGAGGGTTTGGTGTTTCGATTAACATCCTATGAACCCCTATTAACATCCTTGACCACATAATCAGTCATGAAGATATTAATTTCACAAGCAAAGAACTTGATTACAATTTGGAGAAAATTATGGGCTCTGATGAAATTGTGTGTGCATTTGTGAAATCATAATTAAAATCAACTCCCTAGTAAGTGAAAGTCCTCTACACTTGCTTGTGTAAGTGTGTGTTGGCTCTTGTTCCTCCTGCGACTACAAGGCAACAGGTTTTGATTATGTTCAAGATTTGATTGCAGGTGTGTTAATTTGATGTGCTTAAGTTTTGATTGCAGTTGCTTGGTAGAAGCACTATGTTAGAAACAATTTTTTGATTTCAGCACTATGTTAGAACTGAAATCGATTTCTGAAATCGATGATGGTGGCGGCGACATTAATTTTAGTATAGGTGATGATGGTTATGGCTCCAATTCCGGTAAAAACGTTGGAGGAGGTGGTGCTTGTGATAACAGTAAAGCGATGAAGGGTGGTGGTTGGATTCACATCATAGAGATGATGAAGGGGATCGACGATTTAGGGGCGGTGGTGACGATGGCGAACATTGGTGGTTGACGGTGGGTGGTTCTTTCCCTTCTACTATCTTCCTTGGTGGTGGTCGATCCAGTGATGGTGGTGTTGTCCCTCGGAAAAAAGAAATGGTGATGAACGCAATGGTATGTGGCTGGAGGTGGCTGGAGGACCTGTTTTTCGGCAAGGTTTTGGGTGGTTCTCTTTGGGGATTTTATGTCGGGAATGAGGGGAGTCATTTGGTGTGGACCTTGTCTACAAAGGTTGTCAGATTTGAACTCCGGTGAGACGGCACACGACGCCAACGATGGTTGTTTCTTATTGTCAGAGAGAGAAAGAAAGAGGGAGAGTGTGTGTGAGGTGGGTCTTGTTATTAATAAAACTTTAAATTAAATAGAAAAAACATAAAATAATATATCAAAAGGTATTTTATTATTTTCAGTTTAACGAAGGATCAAAATCACGAGCAAACTACCTCAAAATGACCACCAATCCAAAAAAATCGTAGTTTGAATTAAAATCTCAAAACAATGCATACCATATGGACCATTTTTGCAGTTTTGTCTAAATTTAAAAACAAAACATTATACAAGACATATTTTTTATAAACAGAACACAAATTTTATATATTTGAAGAACTTAAGGTTTAAAATTTTCATCAATGATTAAACAATAAACTTATTAAAATAAGGATAAAGAATTTATTATCGATTCTAATAGTGATGGAATTTGGATTTGATATTACTTTTCTTTCGCACACGTTGATTTCAGTTTACAAGAAGAATGAGGGTACACCTTGTTTCCGGTTTACAAGAAGAATCAATAGAATCCCAGAAATAAGGATGAATGTGAATATAGATAAACCCCACATGTAAACAATGGAATTTCTAAAATGCGTATTAATTTTTTTAGATTTAATAAACGTTAACAATTTTTGTCGTGGCCTATAAAGAATAAGACCAAATTATTATTTTAATATAATTGTATAATGTTTATTATTAATTTGAAAATTTTCTGTATAATAAATAATTTTTTTAGAGTTTCTTTTATTAAGTTATGATTATTAAAATAATTTATGTGGTTTTAAATTACAAAATTCTTAATGATATTTTAGTTATAAAAATATTTATGAAAATAAAAAATTTCTTTATAATATCTTTTATTAAGATGTTTTTTTAAAATATTATATAAAACACATTCCATGCATATATTATTCATTTATAGCAAAATTTATGGAATTCAGATAAAAATTCCTTTCAAAGATTCCGTCATCATATGTATACAAGTAAAATATTAAATTATTATCAAATTCAATTTGATTCTTCGTATATTTAACCGATTAATCTAAACTTACTTTTACTTGCTTCATACTTTTATTATTATACTTTTATTATTATCAATTTCAAGTCCAATTCATTTCAAAAATTCACTTCATACTTTATTATTATCAAAAGATCAAATGTTCTCCAAAAAATCATTAAATTTTTGTTTCAGATTCAAATTCCTCCAATAATTCAATTCCTTCCACAAACAAAGCACCCCCTAATTCCCCCTAGATTAAAATCAAATTTAACCATTAAAATAATTAAGGTGTCTACAACGCTACATAGCAAAAGTCATCGAAGAAGAACCACTCGGCATAAAGCTCCTCTTCAACCCAAATGTCTACCAGAAATATAGTACAAAATCACAAGTTCTTCTATTTTCATCAATATTTTGAAATTCTTATCTTGTTCTTGTTCTTAATGTTGTTTAAATCTGAATAAATTTTTTCGTTTATCTGTCACTTGTGTTGCAGTTTTCATTGCATATATACAAAATTAGAAAAAGCCGGAAACCCTAGAAATCATACGAAATGAAGTTTTCAACATCTTCAGATGAATATTTCAATGAAAAAATAGGTAATATTACAAATACAAAAGGTAATTAAATAATTATAGTTGATTAACATCTTAATCATATATAATAATTAACTTATTATGTGTGACTGACATAGAGTAACTTGTGATTTTAATATGAATTAAAAAACAATAAGAAATTAGTGAGTTTTTGTTAATTATATTTTATTCACATCTGAATCACATGTTATTAAGATGTAAATCATAGATGAGCTAGTTTCGTTAATTACATTTGATTCTAATGTGAATCAAATTTTAATTTAAAATGTAAATCACATGCGAATAATATTACAATAAAAACTACATTACATATGAATTATATGTTATTTACATATGATTCTCGTTTGATTGAAATCTAAATCAAAAATGAATTATATGTTATTCACAAATAATTAACATTTGATCCAAATCTGAATCATATTAGATGTAAATCACAACTGAATTAGATGTGATACAAATTTAATACCAATTCAATCACATGTGAATTACATATTTTAACATATAATCAGAATTCAAACACATATGACGTACATCTTAATATTTAAATATAAATCAACATGTTAAATTTTTATTATTATATTTTATAGATAAAGGGAAAAAGAAGAAAAATATCGAAGATTCATCAAAAAAACAAAGACAAAGTCAGAGTGAAAGTATTAAAAATTGGTGGAACATGTGGAGAATGATCGAACTCAATAACATAAGGTTTCTCATTCAACTCCTTGAATACACCTTTAGCCCTTTTACAATATCGGTTGAAAACAATAAACAAAAAATTGTTAAAACATATTGAAATAGAATATTTTGTAGGAATATATAAATGGAAGTGGTTTTGTTTTACTACACCAACTATGTACAGTGAAGAGTTCATATTCCAGTAGTAAAAAACATAAAGGAAATTCATAACTAAACAGTAGTGTCAATAATATAAGAATAATAACTTGTAGTTAAAAAGGAACGATTGAAAGACAAATCAAAACAGTAACACATGAGCAATTTTGACATCGAATTCAGATTTCCATGAATTAATCCATGCAAACCTAATTACAATTTTATCCATTATCACAAGCTAATTACAATATTATCCACTATCACAAGGAAATTCCAATCTCAATGAATCTAAATTTCACTAAAGAAACATTATATCCCTATATAATAGTCAATAAAGTATAATTATTATAAGAATCAAAGGACATAACATAATCAATTTGAGAAAAAAACTTATTATTGGACGCTCGATATAAACAAAGTCGATAAAGCTATGTGATTGTCCAGTGAAAAACAGTTTCATTCTTGAGACCCATCGGACTGTCTTGTTGTTATACTTCATCAAAAAAATATCCAATCAAAATCAACCAAAGACAAAAAGGAAAAATACTCAAAACATTGGATAAGAAACCTACAATTCTCAACAAATTTCAAATAATCAGCAGAGGACGTTGTTACTTACTAGACGAACTTCATTGTCGGTGTGAATGCAAAAGCGACTTCGGATGGAAATAGAGAAAGAAATTTGATGGAGCATAATATCGATTTCGGATGTTGGATCTGGATTGGTAACAAACAACGATGAAGCTGAAAGAGAAAGAACGATGACGAGAAAGATCTGATTTCAGTACCATAAATGCCCTTCGATTAATTTCAATCACATACCCCCGTGTTTAATTTCTTCAAATATTTACAAAAATGCCACAAAACATCTCAGTCTTCTATTATTTTAATCTGACGGTCCTCATTTAGTTCTCGGGTTCTCGGGAAACTATAAGTTCTCAAATGATCATCTCTCTCTCTCTCTCTCTCTCTCTCTCTCTCTATATATATATATATATATATATATATATATATATATATATATATATATATATATATATATATATATGGTTAACGTGAGACAACCTAATTATATTCTAATATTATAGTGTTTATAAAAATTAAATATGTGTAATATTCTAATATTCTAAACCAATAATTTTAACAAATTTTACATTGAAATATTCTAAAACATATAATGTTAGAATATATTGCATATTCTATTTTTACAAACAATTAAATATTAGAATATTTCACTAAAAAGAATTTAGTCTCACGGTCTCACAAAATTACGTTTGTCTCAAATGAATTGTTAGATATATATATATATATATATATATATATATATATATATATATAGGGTCAAGTCATTTTTGATATAAAAAATAACCTTATTTGATTTAAGAACTTGTTACGGTATATTTGAATTGTGTAGACTTAAGTTGGTCATAAGTAAATTACGATAGTTATATTTGACACGTTGCAGTTAACTTATTTTTTGAATTTTTTATTATCATTTGTTTATGTTTGTTGGTGAGCCATGCTAGTATCAGAGTTTAATTTGAGAGTTGATGTATGTTGTCTAATTTAAAGGTTAGATAAAGAATTGGTATTAAATAAAGGAAGTCGTGATTGATTATGATCATACTCTCTTTAGACTATTTCATCCATGGTTCCTTATAAAGGGTTTTAAAGATGCCATTCATGGTTCCTTATAAAGGGTTTTCAAGATGTTGTGCGATCTTATTGGAACACTCAAGGGAAAATTTTGTAGAATCATTTCAACAAAAATCTTCAAAATCTTAACAATAACCTCAAGTCTTTGTATGTGAAAAAATTCAATCTAGGTGGTATTCAAATTAAGATCTTGGATATAGACTGTCGAATTGATACTTTCTTCTAGAAGTGATATGGAGGAAAGAAACAATTACATAAAAGACTTACAAGGATATTGAGAAACTCAAGTTGATGAATTTAGCCAAAAAGACTAAGATTCATTGGAGAATAGAAGGTGTGGAAAAGTCAACTTTTTTAAGGAATGTTGAAACAAAAAATAAGTCAATTCATGTGATTTGTGGTGGTAATGTAGAAACCAAATTCTACACTAACTTTTCAAATAAATTTGGTCTGGTTGACAAGGTATGACCAACCCACCAAATCGTTTTGTTCAAAAGAATTTTGTGGAGAATCTGACTGTTAATAAGTCCAAGTTGAAATTAGAGAGAAAGGTTATTTGGGATTATGGCAATGACAAAATCCAGTCTTGGTGGATTTACGTTTAAATTCATAAAGCGATTTTGGTATGTAGTGGAAACTAGGGTGGTAAACTTGGTGTAACAACTTCATGAGTTGAGTATCATTATGAGAAGGTGCAATCCATCATTTGTTATTCTGATTCCTAATATTAACTATCCTAAAGTGGTTAAAGGTTACCACTATATTACTATAATAAGTTACCAATACAATATAATTGGTAAAGTGTTGGTTAACAACTTATGTCTTCTTGTTGGTGATACTATTAACATAGAGCA